TTTTCCACCACCATGGATAATATCCCTCCCACCCCCATCCCCCCATCCCCCCGTCTCTGTGGCAGGGCAATCCCCTGTGTTCTCTCTCTCCTTTTGGGTGTTGTGGTCTGCAAAAGAGGCAAAATCTCTCTTTTTAAATTAATTTATTTATTTAAGCGACTCACCATGAGCTACAGTTACAAAACTTTCATGTTTGAGTTTCAGTCATCAAACACCCGTCCCTCCACCAGTGTACATTTTCCACCACCAATGTCCCCAGTATCCCTCCTCTCTTAAAATCTCTTCTAAATCACGTGTAGTTTTAAAGATCTTTACAAACTAAGGCTGAATTTTATTTGTATAGAATAATCTTACACTATTCTCAAGTTTGTACTTTTTTAAGTCGGATGACTTGTTCATTTTTTTCCATTCATTTAACAATACACAGGCTGGGTAGGTTTACAGATAATTTTAAGTCCTAAGATTAATTTAATTACAATTAATTTTTAGATTAATTTTAATCTTAAGAGTGGCTTTTTTTTTTTGTCTGTGGGAACCAGACAGGAATAGAAAGGGATAGTTCTTTTTTTTTTTTTTAATCATTGTCTTAATCTTCTTTTTTTTTTTTTTATTAGTGAAACACCATGAGGTACAGTTGTAGATTTACAAATTTTTGTGCTTGGATCTCGGTCATACCACGATCATATACCCATCCCTCCACCAGTGCCCATTTTCCACCACCAGGATAATATCCCTCCCCCCCCCCCATCCTCCCATCCCCCCATCCCCCCCTGCCACTGTAGCAGGGCATTCGAAAGGGATCGTTCTTAAGAGGAAAGTAGCACTGTAGCACTGTCCTCCCGTTGTTCATCTATTTGCTGGAGCAGGTTCCAGTAACGTCTCTATTGTGAGACTTGTTGTTACTGTTTTTGGCATATCGAATATGCCACGGGGTAGTTTGCCAGTCTCTGCCATGCGGGTGGGATACTCTTGGTAGCTTGTCGGGCTCTCCGAGAGGGATGGAGAAATAGAACCCAGGTCAGCCTCGTGCAAGGCAAACGTCCTACCCTCTGTGCTACCGCTCCAGCCCAAGGGGAAAGTAAGATAATAAATATATCAAGCATGCTAATATTTGAGACAAGAAACAGAAAGAGAGGACTGATGAGAGAAAATCAGCAAGGAATTCAATTTCACAGTATTTGGGGTTTAGAGAAAAACTGTGAAATACTCAGAAGAGGTGTGAAATAGAATACTAAAGAGAAACATTTTTTTACTCAGAGGTTAGTAAGAAACGGTCCCCAAATTTCATTGGTTTATGATAGCAAAAGTTGATTTATATCACCAGCTCTATCTCAGTCATAGTCTTCGCAGCTGAAGTCCATGTGTTGTCTTTCTTTAAAAAAAAATATATTTTTTATTAAATCACTGTGAAACACACAGTTACCAAGCTGTTCATGGTTGGGTTTCAGTCTTACGATTTTCCAACATCCAATCCTCCACCGATGTATATTTCCCAAGATAGCACAGTGGTAGGGCGTTTGCCTTGCATGCGGCCAACCTCACCAACCCGGGTTCGATTCCTCCACCCCTCTCGAAGAGCCCAGCAAGCTACCGAGACTATCTCAACCGCATGGCAAAGCCTGGCAAGCTACCCGTGACGTATTCGATATGCCAAACGCAGTAACAACAAGTCTCACGATGGAGATGTTACTGGGCCCCCTCGAGCAAATCGGTGATCAATAGGGGGATAGTGACAGTGACCAATGCCCCCAGTTTCCCTTCCCCTAACCCCCATCTCCTCAGCCTGCCTCTGTGGCAGGCACTTTTCTTCTTTCTCTCTCTCTCTTTTTTTTTGGGGGGGGGGGCATTATGATTTGCAATACAGATACTGAGAGGCTATCCTGTTTGTTCCTTTACCTTCTTTCAGGAATGCAGTTTTTATCCAGAGGGATCAATTCCAACTTTCATTGTCATAGTGGTCTCTTCTCTATCCTAACTGCATTCTCCTCCAGCACTTGAGGCAGGCTTCCAACTGCAGACCAATCCCCCCCCCCCCCCCCCCCCCCCCCCCCCGACCCTTGTTTCTGTTGTCCTTGAGTGCTAGTCTTATGCTAAGTTGTTTTGTCTGTCCCTCTCCTTCTGACTCATTTCACTCAGCATGATTCACTCTCCATAGCCATCCATTTACAACCAAATTTCATGTTGTATTCTTTCTTTTATGATTAATAGACAACTTCTTTTATAAAAAAATTTTTATTGAATCACTGTAATATAGATCATTACAAAGCTGTTAGTGAATGAATTTCAGTCATACCGTATTTATAGAATGTTCACAATAATTCTGTTATGAAAAACTCAAAATCTTTTACTGTGATTTAGCAGTAAATCGGGGCATGATCAGGCATTTTATCAGCCAGATCTGATCCAGGTTTTCTCACACCACCCACGCTTCTTTTGTTATATCAGCTGGGAGGCACCAGAACATTCTCTGTCCAAGTAAATACCTTTCACCATACTACAATGGCAGAAATGACAGTGTGGTCATCCTTGTGCATGAGGCAGGTAAAACAGCGAGCTTTATCTGATAAAACCAGCACCTGTTACCATAGATGAACTGAACAGCATAAATCAAGAGCCTAGCTTGTTGTCGTTGTTTTTCCTATTTACTGGCGTTCCCATTAAATTCAGGCAAAGACTAATGTGTCAGAGGGTCTGCCCAAAGCCTACCCTCCCCCCCCCACCCCGCCCCCAGACAGATGTTTTTAACCTCTGGGCTTAAAAAAGATGGAGATGGGATAGGAGGGTGGAGAAAAGATAGGGGAAAATATGTGTGTGTGTAAATTGAATCGCCATGAATATAGTTAAAAAGCTGTTTATGATTGGGTTTCAGTCATAGAATGTTCCAAAACCCATCCCTTCACCTCTGTACGTTTCCCACCACCAATGTCCCCAGTAAGGAAACGGTTTAAAATAACACAAACTGAAACTAAATTGTATTTTTTATTAATTTATTTTTTTAAATTAAATCACCATGAGTTACAAAGCTGTTCATGGTCATATTTCAGTCACAGTGTTCCAACACCCATCCCTCTACCAGTGTACACTTCCCAGGACCAATGTCCCCAGATTCCCTCCTGTCACCCTCTCCCTGCCCCCAGTGTCTACAGCAAATACTTTTTCTTTGTGTCTCTGTCTCTCTCTCCTTCTGTCTCTGTCTCTGTCTCTGTCTCTCTCTCCTTCTCTCTCTCTCTCTCTCTCTCTCTCTCTCTCTCTCTCTCTCTCAGGCATTTTGATTTGCAATACAGGTACTGAGATGTTATCATGTTTGCTCAGTGCTCATATCCAATTATTATGCACACAGTTCTCCTCAGTGCTCATATCCCATTATCCTTGTCAAATTGATCCCTTCTCTATCCCATCTGCCTTCAAAACTAAATTTTTATATCTTATTAAAGCTCTCTTTCCCAGTTTTGGGTTTTGTGTATGTTCTGTTTTGTTTGTTTGTTTGTTTTTGACATCCTGTTTTAAATCAAAGACTGAGCCCCTTCTTGGAACAATCATTACTTAAAAAGCAAATAAATCGGTGAAACCGACTGTCTCACCAATATTGACGTCTCCAAAGGGGGGAAAATATCAAAAAAAAAAACACCCCACGTTTATTTCTCAATCACAACGATCAAGATTCAATCTTAATGTTCAGTGTCAGTGACCAAGATTCAATCTCAATGCTCAAACTTGCAGCGAACACCAGAGAGCGCACTGCGAAGTACATGAACCAAGGAGGGACAGAACCAAGGAGGACCGCCACTTGCAAGCCAAGCCTACCCGCTGTCCAGTCCTCTGGCCCGGAGCCCAGGGGCTAGTCGGATCTTTTGACCCGCATTCTCTGGGTGGAAGGCCAAGTGGGGTGAGATTCACAGGAGACACGAACTCCTTATCAGAATTCACCAAATCTGATTTTAACACACACACACACACACACACACACACACACACACACACACACACACACAGGACACTTCGTGCAATCTTCCCTTCGAGGACAGTCCTTGAAAAGAGAGACCCTCTGTCCTGAGTTCTAGGGGCGCGCGCAGGGCCGGGGGCTGTCCGGCGCCTGGTCCCTGGGGGCTTTAAGCTGCCCAGCGGGCAGCCGAGATGCCCCCACGAGGTGTGGGAGCCCCGCGTGGCCGCGCAGGACGAGTCCGAGGGAAGGAGGCGGCGGCGCGATGGGCAGCCAGGGACACCTCGGCTCCGGGTGCGGAGCCGGCGGGAAGGGGCGGCGGGACTGGACAGGACGGGGCGGCGGGAAGGGGCGGCGCTCGGCTCCGGGCCGGCTGGACTCGAATCTAGTCTCGGCTCCCGCGGGCCGGAGCCCGGCGCGCCCCGACCCCACTGCCGCCGGGATCCGCGCGCATCTCCCGGGCGGGGAGTGGACCCCGGGACCCCCTGGAAGAAGCGACGCCTGAACGATCTTCCCAGTGGACGGAGCAGCCCGGGACCCTGATCCTTGTCCCACCCGGTGGGACAGCCCCCCGGGACCCCCTGGAAGAATCGACGCCTGAACTATCTTCCCACTCGGCCCTGCAGCCCTGGACCCCCTGGAAAAAACGACACTTGGAGGATCCCCCCACCCGGCCGTGCAGCCCTGGACCCCCCTGGAAAAACCGACGCCTGAATGATCTTCCCAGCGGACGGGGACAGCCTGGGACCCTGATCCTTCTCCTACCCGGTGGGACATCCCGGGACCCCCTGAAAGAAGCGACGCATGAATGATCTTCCCACCTGGCCGGGCAGCCCGGGACCCTGATCCTCCCACCCGGAGGGACAGCCCAGGACCCCCTGGAAGAACCGACGCCTGAACTATCTTCCCACTCGGCCCTGCGGGCCTGGACCCTCCTGGAAAAAACTTGGAGGATCCCCCCACCCGGCCGTGCTACCCTGGACCCCCTGGAAGTACCGACGCATGAACGATCTTCCCAGCGGGCGGGGCAGACTGGGACCCCCTGGAAGAACCGACGCATGAATGATCTTCCCACCTGGCCGGGCAGCCCGGGACCCTGATCATCCTCCCACCCGGAGGGACAGCCTGGGACCCCCTGGGAGAACCGACGCATGAACGATCTTCCCAGCCTGGCGAGCGGCCGGGGGCGCGCTGGGGTCGGGGCGCGCGGGGAACCCCAGGCCCGGTGCGCGCCGTGGTCCACGGTGGCGGAGCCGAGAGCAGCCCGGGGCGGCGCCCACGAGCGCGGAGGAGCCGGTGAGGCCTGGGTGACAGAGAAGGTGCTTTTCCTACTGCATCCAGAGAGATGCTTGGGGACCCTCCAGGACCCTGGCGGGGAGGAGCCGGCCCGCGGCGCAGACGGGGACGGCGGCGGCCACTCCGCACCCCTCGGGGCCCGAGTGCGCACTCCGGACAGCCGCGATGCAGACCCCGCCGGCCGCGCCCCCCTGCCGCACCCCGGCGCGCCCCCGGCCACGTCGGTGCTCGTGCGGGTCGTGGATTATCAGGTGACGCAGGAAGTGCTGCGCAGCGCCTGGACCCGGGGCCAGATGACCAGGCTCACCGAGGAGCGCTCGGTGACCTCCGTCACTTTCCGCACCCGCAGGGAGTGAGGCCGGGCATGGGAGCCCGGGACCCTGATCCTCCCACCGGGAGGGACAGCCTGGGACCCCCAGGAAGAACCAACGCATGAACGATCTTCCCAGCCTGGCGGGCGGCCGGGGGCGCACCGGGATCGGGGCGCGCGGGGAACCCCCAGGAGGAGGGAGCCCCCGGCTCCCGTAGCTCGGACAGTGGCACCAGCGCATGTCCACTGCGCAGGGAGGATCGTTTAAACACGGTTCCAGGAAAGAGGATCCCGGGGAAAGCACCTGGCTGGGGCAGGAGCTCATCTTTCCCGGTGGGGGGAAAGATTCTTCCAGAAACGTTGACTTGTAATGAACCAGGAGGACGTGTTCCATGGCCTGACCAAGCTTCAGGGAGCCAGAAGACCCCCACCACAGAGGGAAGAACTAATTGCAGGGAAGTCAACAACAGACCTCTTTTTTTGCTTAAACACTGAGCCTGTTACCTATGTCACTTAGAAGAGAAGAAAAGGTATTTTCAAGCTGGCAGATTGTGGAGATTTTGAAATAAGAAAAACTGCTGTTTTCCCTTTTAACAGCATCGCCTAATTTGGTTTCTTTTCTCCGCCTTTCCTCTGTAGGACCTCCCCCCCCAAAAAGCACAGCAGGTGAAGTTTGGGGTCTGCTCTGATTAGCAGAAGAGGTAGGACTAGATGGAGGGGGGGAGGAGAGAGAGAGAGACTTATTTAAAAGATGAAAAGGAAGTGGGAAACTTTTTAAAATAAAGTGACAAGTAAACACAATCTTTTCTCTTTGCTCTCTGTCCATGCGCCTATGTTTCTGTTTTTCACGTGTTAGGTAGGTAAGAGGCGTTAGCAGTTTAGCGGTTGAAGGGGGTGGGGTGTGGTGGGAGGGTGGGCACACTGAAAACTGTGCTTTGAAGGTGAAATACTATTGGAATGGGCTCTGCTAAGCTATCTTCAATCAGTAAACACGTTTTTAATCTGAAATTTTATTTAATCTTAAACTATGTCAACATGTAAATTGCTGCATCAGAATTCTGCTCTGATGCGTCCTTGAAATGTTTAGTTTTCCATGAAGGGGTTGAATATTTCATTCTTGGTCATCGTTGTCACTGTCATTCTGTTGTTCATCGATTGCCTTGAGCAGGCCCCAGTAAGGTCTCCTTCGTCCTAGCACTGAGATTTTTTAAAAAGTGCATATTCGAGGATCTTTCAGGGTCAGGAGAATGAGATCCATCATTGTTACTGGTTTTTGGCATATTGAATTCGCCACCGGGAGTTTGCCGGACTCTGCCTTGTGGGCAGGATAGTTTTGGTAGCCTGCCAGGTTCTCCAGAGTAAGAATTAGATGATAAGATGTTGCACAGTCACAAATGCAGCCGCGCACTTCCGGGAGCTGGGTTTTATAGTCTCTGGGTCTTGGCCATTGATGGGATTACACAGCTCTGGGGGCAGTTGGTGGGTGTAATGCCTACATACTGGAAGATGGGGATCTGGGTGGAGGAGGCCCCAGTCCCAATCTGAGCAGGCTTGGAGATCTACACTCCAAGAAGAAATTCTTGGTCATACTTCCTAGTTAATACTTCTTGTGGTCAAGAGCGGATTAAGATACACCCCTTTCTGATGTAGTTAAAATGACTTTCTCTGGGGCACTTGCAAAAATTCATCGTAATTGTATGTATTCTGCTTTTTTTTTTTCTTTTTGGGTCACACCTGGCAATGCACAGGGGTTACTCAGGAATTACTCCTGGCTGTGCTCAGAGGACCATATGGAATGCTGGGAATTGAACCCGGGTCGGCCGCATGCAAGGCAAAAGCCCTACCTGCTGTGCTATTGCTCCAGCCCCTGTATTCTGCTATTTTTATCAAATAGCCTGTTTTTCATTTCTTTAAAGAATAGCCTGACCTCGTTTGAAGCAGTACACTCCCCCTGGAGACTAGCTTGCTTGAATTTATCGTTGCTGAAGGAATATTTGGTTACTGCAAGAATTTATAAACATCTGGGACTCTGGCTTTTGAGGAATTTTAAACTGTTGAGTATAAGGTCCCACCTCCACTTCTCCTTCACCACTCTTTTTCAGTTTAGAGCTTCACTGCTCTCAAATATCTAATCCACTTCTTGTCTTTTGGCAGACAAGAGAGGTCAAGAAATTTCCTAAATTTCTAGATGAACCAGTCGAGGCCTGGAGGTCACGTAGCATCTGTAGACCACACATGCTAAATGCTATGTATTTTGTAGGGTAATTACACACATTAAGTCGTTATAAATGTGATCATTACTCTCCTACAGGTTTGGGGATGGCCTGCAGAAGAATTTACTTCTAGGGGGCATCCAGAGATACTTCAGCTTATCCTGAGTTTCCTACTGTAGAGATCCATAAACTTACTTGAATAACCTGGACAATTTTGGAAATACCTCATGTCTCCCTAATATTTGTAATAATATGGTTGAAGGCCAGACCACAGCCATGACAATTACGTCAGAATAATTCCTAAGGGTGGGGCCCAGGCATCAGTATTTTAAAGTCCATTCAGGTGATTGCAGTGTGTGATCAACTTTGAGAACCACTGTTCTAACTCATGTTCATGAGAAGTCCTGCAATCACATGGGTGTCGCTGAGTCTGGCAAGGTCTGTTGGCTGCAGAATCACCAACAACAGTTCTTAGGCCAATGAAAGCAGCACTTGAAAGAGGAATTCCACACCTTGAGCTCATTTGTTTACAGACTGCTTGGTGGAAGAAAAGGTAATGTAACCTAAGCCTAATAGAGTGAATGACCTTTTCCACCAACAACTCTGCCTGACTCCTATGTGAGGTTAAAATTCCTGACAATTACCAAACCTGACACCAAATTGGGTTGTGAGTCATCATATGTCCCAATAACTGAGCACTAAACATAGTCAACAAGAAAACCCTCTTTATCATTAACTGTAAAGAATAATACCACTTAGTTGCAAACTTTGGAGATCAGCTTCTTGGGTTCAAAACAGTCTTCATATTTTACTGTGTGTGTTTTTTGGGCATATGGATGCCTATGAAATCTTGTTAATTGTAATAGCAAATATTATCTGTCTCACAGGGTTTCCCCAAGGATGAAGTTAAATGAAAGAAGCTTAGAACAACACCTAGCATGAAATAATGGCCAAAGTTAGCTATCAGAGTGTTTTATTATTATTTAATTCACTTTTCATTCTAGCCATAACACAAAAAATCCTATAGGACCGAAACCAGTATCATTTATGAACGCTTTTCTGCATTCCTAAAAGTGTTACTTGAGCTTTTGCTAACATTAAATGGATTAGTAAACACATTCCTTAAATTCCTTAGACATAACCTCCGGGACTTGTGACAAAGATTCATTCTAAGGCTTAACAGCTCAGCATGCACCATGCTCCACAAAGTCTTTAGGATGTTCCATGGACTGTTTCTCCTTGGCAGGCAGGAACTTTGAGCACTTTTAGGACAAGGCAGTTAAGTTTGTTTTTACTGACGAGGTTATTAACATGATGTCTGTTATCTCAGACAAGCAGAACAGGTTCAATTTTTCCTTTAGTTCCTTTCTATGAAATATACATTGAGATCAAAGCATGTAAGCCCATTCCACTCTGTTAAGTGAAATATTTTGGGGTTAATTTCACTGCTTTAAGTGAAATAGAGGTAATATTGCATTGTTTCAGGTGTGTACCATTTAAAATCAGTGTATATATACTATAGATTAAGTTTACCACTTAACCTATCTGATTTCTTCACTGTAAAATTATCATACTGCACTTTATTATATTATTATAACTATTTGGAGTGATAGCACAGTGGGTAGGGTGTTTGCCTTGTATGCGGCCGACCTGGGTTCGATTCCTCCGCCCCTCTCGGAGAGCCTGGCAAGCTACTGAGAGTATTCCGCTCACACAGCAGAGCCTGGCAAGCTCCCGTGGCATATTCGATATGTCAAAAATAGTAACAACAAGTCTCACAAGGGAGACGTAACTGGTGCTGCTCGAGCAAATCAATGAACAACAGGAGGACAGTGCTACAGTGCTATTATAACTATTATAATATTATATATAATTACATAATGTATTATTAGTTTTAATGTTATAACTATTATACCACATTTCTCTATGCTTAATATTATGCTTAATAATATATATTATATATTGAGTTATCCATTTGAGGCCCCTACTACACACGCACACACACACACACTTCTATTTCTTAAATTGGTGGGCCCCCACAGGTGGTTTATGTGAGGAGGGGGGGAAGGGGAATCGGTTAATTTCTCCCTATTCACCTCTGCCACCCAGGGACCGGCTGGGATGACTAGGACTGGTAAAGTGCTCCATGAGCACCTGCAGCTCTACCAGGTGGCCGCCAAACTACACCTGATGTCCATTTGGTCTTCTAGGTACGGGAGTTGATCCCCACCACCTGATTTCTCGGGGAGCCATGGCCTCAGTTTGGAATGGACTCAGTTTGGAGGGAGGATTTGCTCTTCACAGGAAAGGAAAGACAGTCCTAGGCCTGACCCAGGGTGTCGGGGTTCTTGTCTTGCCTCGCAGGAAAGAATTTCAGAAGGAGAGGAGCAGTGAAGTGAAAACAGATTTTATTTGGAGGCATTTAGCAGGGGAAGGAGGGAGAGAAAGTGAGTGAGGATCAGGTGAGAACAAAGACGACTCCAAAGGTGGAAAGAGTCCTTACACACCTCCCAGCATTGGATCCAAAAGCATGAACATACATATCTCAAGAGGGGAGATGTGGGCGATATACACTCAGGTGCCACATGTGCTGGGCCATGTGAGCACGTGGACTTGGGCAGCATATGCGTGCCCTTCCTGTGTTCAAGGTGGCTTTTGTAGAGTTTTCTCATCCTGACCCCGCCAAGTGGGGCTTCTACCTAGATAAAAGTCTGTTGCTAGGGAGGTTGCCAAGGAGTTGAGTTGGAAGTGGTGATGGCTTCTTTCAAATTCCTTTCCTGACCTTTTGTTCCTGCTGGACCTTCAAGGGGGGGTCCAGCCTTCTCTGGGTCTG